CTTGCCTCTGGGCGCTCGACTCCGCGCGCTCGCTCGGCTCCGCGCGAACCGCGCCTGCCTGTCAGCGGCCAGGCGGCGGGAGGCGGGACCGAGGCAATAAGACGTCTTTTGATTGGCCGATGTACGGACGTAACACGCGCTCTGATGGGTCCGGATCCGGTCTCGTCACTACGCACGCGGGGCTGCGGATGTTGGCTGTGGATGAGTCCCGGAAGATGGGAGAAGATGGGTTTAGGCCTCTGCGGGCTCTCGGCTTCGGTCCAGCCTGAAGAGAGCGGCGTGGGGATATGAGGGTGCTCCCTGCAAGACGCGCGTGAGCCGACTCGGGTCGTGGAGCGCAGGAGGAGCTCAGCGCCGCAGGTTACGGGCTGCTGCAGCCCCTTCGTGGACCGGGCGCCACCCGTGTCCCCGAGTGCAGAGGAAGCGTCCTTCCCGCCCAGCTGTTGAAGATGAGGCCGGGTCTGTCTCCCGTAGCCTTGGTTCACCTTCCGCAGGACTGTCCCCTCCTTCTATTAGACCCTTCAAACCTCCACTCTTGCTTCACTTTAACTTGTTTAAGCTCCTTGCCCTTGGTTTCTGCCTTTTTCCCCTCTAATAGCCTATGTTCTTTTTTCCAATGTGTAGGAAAGTACTTTTCCTATACACGTAGAGTCCATAAGTTCTGTTCCCGCCAAAAACTAGAAAGGTTAAGGAGCAGTAAAAACTTATTCAGAGGCCCAGGTTCTTCTGCCCTAACTAGTGGAGACCAGACAACTCTCTACGAGAAGGTATAGAAGAAAACAAGCCCTGTGCAGATTTAGATCTGTATAAAGTCAATTTTAGATGTGTGTGTGTGTGTGTGTGTGTGTGTGTGTGTGTATTGATTTCTGTGAGTGACGCTGAGGTAGTTACTGCCTGTTTTCTCCCTTTCCGATCCCGACCCCGGAATCGTTTTCCCACCTCATGTCTCTTCTTCCGTGTCTTGCACTTTCTTTCTTCCCTTGCCCCAAGTTACTCCCCATCACCTCCGAGATGTGCTTAAGGCAAACGGATGACTGCTGTCCTGTGCATGCTATGTCAGAAACAGATGGGCATGCGTATGTGTGTTTACAATGTCGGGATTTTTTCAACTAGAACAAATTCCACACGTCCAGTGGTTTCACTGGGACCAAAGAGTCCCACTTTACGTGGTAGCCCTGGCTAAGGCCAACCCAGGTTCTTTTATTGCAGAAATAATTACTAATATTATCTCTCGGATCACACACCACTCAGTTTATCATCTGTGTTTACATATGTTTATATGTCATTATGTAGGGTTATATGGCTACCCAGGGTTCAAAGAGGGCAAGGAGTTTAAAAAGCTTTGGGAAGCCAAAGCTTGGGAAACCGATAGGGATGCAAGAGTCTCTGCATTGATAATGTATGGCCCTAAACCCAGCGACAGGGAAGAAGCTACCATGGTTGGGCCACGAATTTGACAAACTGTCCTGTTTACAGATGCAGCGGTGAAAGGACAGAACTTAGTCCAGACAGAGGAACTGCTGGGCAGATGGACAGCAGATCCAGACTGGCAGACCAGCAGTTGAGTAAACCACATCAAAAGCAGGGACTGAACCAACCTGAAGGTCTCTGGAAGTTCGGGGTTCTCTGTCGGCCAGTGATATACACATGATAGTTAGATGACCCATTGGTAGGGGCATTAGCATCTCAATGTCAGATGTCAGCCTCTGTCGACAGAGACACAGGATTTCCAACACAGTTATGTACCTGAGGCCCTCTCTCTTCCCAACCATAAGTTTTCACTTCTAGGAATCTCACTAGAAATTTCATTTATAGAGAAAAGACATGTATTAAACCCTTTATGTAACCTTGATGGCTTTTTCCCTTGTCAGAGTATAATCCTGGCTATCTCTGTAGCCCCAAATTGATACAGCCTAGCTGTCTTAATCAGTTTGTTGTGGCATTGGAAAAATCTCAAACACCACACAGACAGAATTAGCAGTTAAAGAAAGGTGTTTATTAGGGGATGAGGACATACATGCACACAGCAGACATACAGAGGGAAAAACAAAAAGGCACTACAAACTAAAGCAGAGACTCAGCCAAAACAAAAAATCTCTTCTTGGAGATGGGGTATTTTAAGTCTCTGAAGAGTCTTCCTCTCCTAATTAAGGGTTGGCCAGTTTGAAGAAATGTGGGATGGTTGATTGGCCAGCCACCATTGGGTAACATGTCATAAAGCCTTGAACTTGTTGAGCTAATCCATCAGTAGGGGACCTGCTGTTGCAGGACAAAAGCCAACAAGGCTTTTATTTTTAGCTTCCAGGCTTTTGTCTCAAGCTAGGAGGGCCAGGAAGAAGCCAGCCATCTTGGAAATTCTCCACCTTTAATATCTAGCCATGGTCCCTCTCCTTATCTGTTTACCAGGGAGTCTGTCTAATTCCTAATCTCTCCAACTGTGTCTGTGAAACTGTTTCCTCATTCCTGAGACGGTAACTGTGTATTTGCTCCCACAAGCCTGACACCTTCTGTTATCACTGAGGAACAGGGTATTTGAAAGTGGACTTGAGGAGGAAATTCAAGGACAGTTAGGTTTGGAGAGGGGGAAAAAGGTAGGCAAACAAGATGTTTTCTGAGTTAGAGGTCAAGAAAAAAGTATGCTTCAGCAGTGGAATTCCGCAAGCACTGGAACTGGGGTGGTGTTGCTAGAGAGGTGTTTGGGAAGTGAGAAAACGTGGAGTATCATGCTGTAGGACATTTTATTCTTTTGGTTTTTTGAAGAGCTCACTGCCCAGCTCCCAAATAAATCTCACACGCGGAGACTTATCCTTAATTATAAATGCCCGGCCTTAGCTTGACTTGTTTCTTGCCAACTTTTTTTATATTAAGTTATCCTGTCTACCTTTTCCCTCTGGGGTTTTATCTTTCTTTCCTTCTTACTCCGTGGCTGGCCCCTGATGTCCTCCTCTCCTTGTTCTCTTGTTCCTCATTCTCCCTCTCTATTCTCTCTGCCTGCCAGCCCTACCTCTCTTTGCTCCTGCCTTGCTATTGGCCGTTTATCTCCTTATTAGGACCTTATTTAGACAGGCACAGTAACACAGCTTCACAGAGTTAAAGAAATACAGCATAAACAAAAGACCCCAACAGTGTCAAAACAAGCAAGTGTAGGAGTTTGGCTGGTATCTAAAAAGGAAGCTAGAGGAAGAGAAAATGTTCTGGTTTCAAGTGGGCAGGCTTAGCAGTGAGGGGCTATAAAGAGTTGAGGGAAGGGCTTATGAGTTGCACGTCCATGTCAGGACATGCTTTGAGGTGTACCATTTCTTTTCCCCTTCTGACTTCAAGCTGTCTTCCCCAGATTATAAAACAGATTTTCTGCTCATCACAGGAAGTCTTTGGCTTTGCCTGGCTAAGAGAGGCTCCTGCTGTCTGCATGAGAATGTGTCATCAACCACTGACCACTTACAAAGAGAGTTTAGTGACCTTTAAGATGCTCTTAGTGTCATTACCACACTGATACTTGCATGTCCCAAATGGAGCCCGTGAAGCAGCTGACTACCAATGGCCCTTTTGATTCCCCTTCTCACTACCTAGCATCCCCTGTCACCAACACTTGAACTTTTTTTTGAATAATGTTGCCATAGCAACTGTTGTGACTTTCAGAGATGTGTGATGAAACTGTCTAAATATTCCAAGCATAGTGTTTACAGACCATACTTGAATGCATGTTTTTTTCTGAATATCTTATATTTGTTAATTAGCAGTACCAAAATTACCTCATCTTGAAGAAGCTATGAGTTCCTGACTTTGGTACAATATAAGAGAATGTTCACATTATTTGAAAAGGCTACTAAAATATTCTCTCTCCTTTTTTCCCAAATCTGCATCCATATCTGAATGGGGCCAGATTTTATTCATTGGCTCCAACCAGCTGTTGCAAAATCCTCCACTCTCACTTGAAAGGGAATAAGAGACAATTTATTCTAGAGCTAATAAGAGTGACCACGGCAGGGAACACAGATTTGGGTTACTACCAAATACCATTCTTCAACATGGTAACCGTTTCATGATGTTTTTATAGTACTCAAAAAGGAAAGTGGTCAGTCAAGTTATTTCTCAGATACTTTGGTGGATGCATGATGTAGTCAGGTTTCAGGGAAATGGGTAAATCTGCGGCAGGCTTCAGATGTTATCTTTGAGTTATGGAAACTACTTGTGCATTACAAAAGTATTTACCTGATCATCATGAGGATGTTAGGTCACATGGGTGGGCAATAAACGGCTATTTAGAGAGCTAAGGATAACTCAAGATAATGGGCTCTAGATCTGCAACATTCCAGTTCTCCACAATTCAAATAACTTCTAATCAGTCAATCAGACTTGTAGACTGTTTCACATAAGTGTGTTCCCCTCCCAGTGTCAGTTCACAACCAGGGAACACCCAGTATCTCTTTTACACCTGGCAGTAGGGAGATTGGCAGAAATAAAAACAAGCAGAACCATCATTCTTACTAACTTTTTGCTGTTTTAAAGATACAGTTTCTATATATAAATATATGTGTGTGTATACATATATATGTACATATAAATATACATATTTAAAGATACAGTTTATACATATA